TGCAAGCCAACTGAGTTTCACATGGGGCTCAGCTACACTGAAAGAGGCATTTTTTTTTTTTTTTTTTCAAATGTACTAGTTAATGTAAGAAATCCTAAATCATGAGTACATCACACACACAAGTCTCCTCTCCATGTACAGGTAAAGGTGCAATGGGATCCAATGCATAGTTTACACAATTGTGCCTTATTGCCAGTGCAGGGGGAGCCCGATCCCAGGCTCCCCCTGCACTGGCAAAACAAGGTCCTATGACTGGGAGCCCCATGCATCCCAGCTGAGGAGCTCCCAGCTGCGGGAGCACCCCATTCGCCCCCCAGGGTGGGGGGACTGTGATCTCCCTACGCTGGGAATAAAAGGGGCGAGGGGATCACCACACTCCGAGGGTGTGGAGCCCAGAGGTTTTCTGCACCCCTAAGGTGCAGAAAACCTCAGGCAGACTGTCCTTGCAGCAAGCCTCCAGCCTCGGGGGGCTTCCTATACCCCCAGGGGTGGGGGAATAAACTAGAATATAGAATAGAATAGAATCATCAAATCACCAAGGATTTCCCTGCACACCTGGGGCAGGGGAGAGATGGTGTGTGGAGGGAGGGAGAAGTTGCAGCCCTGTTGGGTTTGCAGACAATATGAAGAAGCAGGAAGAGGGCGACTGAAAAGCTCAGTATCATCAACAGATGCATGCACTGCAAACCCCCGCTGTGCCTCAGAGTGTTAGCCCGGGGCTGGGGGCTGGCAACACTCCTGCCCTTGAGCAGTAAGCGGGGAAAAGCCTGGGATGGTGCAGGCCAGGGTGGGGATTTACACCCCTCCCTAATCAGATCATCCTGTGGAGGCCTGGCCATGCCCCACCCCCTCAGCTCAACACTGGACAAGGAAAGGGAGGGCTGCTTTAGCACCCCCTGGCTTTTAGCATGAGCCACTGCAGGCATGTGACTGCATTTCCTCAGTCCAGAGCGAATGTCTGTATGGTTGCAAACTGGTTCAACTTAGGCAGGTTTAGTCTAACCTACAAAGGTTGAATCAATGCAGGTTCAGGTTTTTTGAATGCTTATCCCTAGCCTAAGAGTTACTAGCAAATCCCCATCTAAATATTCTAGAACAAAAGACTGAGATTAGGTCTGGTTCAGCTAATATTTAACTGACAACTAAAGCTTGCCTACACATACCCTCAAAGTCATGACTTATCTGACACAAACACCAAAATAATATTCCTCCTGACCAGTGTGCCATTGGCGTTTCCTAGCTTAGGGAAATCATCTTTATTCTCTTTTCACTGAATACCTTATAATTTCTAATTTCTATGTTTCAGTAATTAAGATAGGGAGGAATTGGATATTTTTCTGACAAACTTCTTAAAATTCTTTAAACTTAAACTAAACTAATTGAAAAGTGTGACATTACAGCCTCCTCTGCATTAGGAGTTAGCTTTCACAGGGCATCGTGATGTCCATCACGTTTCATAAAAAAGCCCATGACTTTATTTAGAGTCTTGTCAAAGTTTTGACCTTTGACATTAGCAGGTTAAAAAAAAAAGTTTGCTCTGTAATGCTTGGATTCTTCAAAATCTAATCAAAATAAGGATATTTATAACAAAGGAAATACATTCCATCTTATACTAGGTTAACTCTTAAACAGCTACTCAGATAACTTTGATATCTATGCAAAAGCAAAACTAGCAAAATGCAAATAGTAAACATTTCAGAGGAGCAGAAGGCAAAACATTTTAGATTACTACTACCCCACCAAATTTCAAACAGTTTGCCCCGTTCTTCTTTTGATTTTTTTGCTGTTGCCAAAAAGAGTTAAATTGATATAAAAAAAAGATTAATTTTGATTAAACTATTGTTGCGTAAAGCATGAACAAAGTTTTAACAGGCTTTGAGAATGCTCAAGTTCTTTATGATTCCCACTGCTCCTATTCTAGAGGTGAAACTCCCAACACAGAAGCCTTCATATCAACATGGTGTTAATCGTTGCCACTTAGAGCAGACTGAAACTACACTTGCCATGTTTATGAAAGAACTGCATGAGAGGATAGTACACTAGATATATGCTCTGAGAACCAATCTGAAACTGTTTTCCTATTAAGGTATTGGGGGGCGGGGGTTGGCCAAATTAAAGCCCTTCTTTGATAATCCTGTATTAACAAGTTAGTTCTGCATTTGTACGTTGTCTTTCTACAGGCAAACTCTAGCCAGAAGAACATTTCCTGCACATATTTCTCATGTGCATGGATAGCATTTTCACAAGACCCAAAACTAAACTGACAGGTTTAATTGCGGCAAATACAAGGAAAAGCTGTTTCAAGTGGAAGAAGGTGCCCTACCCTCAGCAGGAGAAAAAAAATCTGTTATTTTTCTGAAGAACTGTTTGCTAAATAAAAAACTAGCATTCAGGAAGATGGCAAAGTCTTATAGCATCTTATAGCCACAGTAGTGAAGCTAAAGTAACTTGCTGGTTTAAATGCTGCTTAAAAAGGTTTTCTTAATAGATTGATTCCCAGGCATGTTTTTGATCATGATATGATAGAGCATGTATTCACCCAGTGTTCCTGCTTTCACTTTATGTGAATGATTAAGCACTAAATACTAAGTAGTCAAATTTGTGCCTTGGATATATCTATTCTGCATTGGTAAATTTGTTTAACCCTTAATCCTTCAAGAGATATGCAAATTCTGCAAGTCATGGAATACAGTTCAGGGGCACTACCTCCTGTATCCTCCCCAGAACTCACCCGTTATGTTAATCTGCATAATAGTTTATCAGCATGCTACTCAGGCAGAGCATTCCCTGTGGCAGTTGCTTTAAAAAAAAAAAAACAAATAAAAAACCAAAGACCCCCCCCCACCACCACCACCTCCATGTTCTTAGAGGGACCTCTGATTTTCTCCCAGTAAAGTTTATTACAGAATTTTAAAATCAGGGGTTGGCAACCTTTTGGCATCATGGGCCACTGCTTGTAACCCAGCCTCCACTGCAGGCTGCACCACCACACGCCTCCCCACATCAACAGGGGATACTAAATCAAGGCATAGGGAAGAAAAAAAAACACTTGCTCACTAGGACCCTGGGAACACCTCCCCTGCTGCAGCAGAGAAAATATACTGAATGTTTGGGGATGCCTCTGCAGCTATGGCTGCAACATCCTGCCCATTCCCTGAGCTACTGCAGGCTACATCCACTCTCCTCATGGGCCAGATCCAAACCACAGGCCTTAAGCTGCCAACCCCAGTTTAGACTGATGGTATGATTGCTATGATGAAACAACAGGCACTCTAAATTATTGCCTTCAGTGCAAATCACTTGCCCTGCCATGCATTTGTGCAAGACATTACTTTGGCAACTGCTTCAAGGGGTTAGATGAAAAAAAAACAGGGAGTTAAATGTTCTTACTCATCTGAAACTAAATTTGACAGATGAAAATAAGCATCATTACCAGAAACAGACCAACCTGCCCTGTGAATGCCCACTAAGTGCACCACTGGTTACTAATATTATGTTGCCCAGTTTTGCAACTATGGGGAGTGTCCAGACAAGCCTGAACATGCCTTTTACCCCATTTCAAAGCAGTATGAGATGTGGCAAGAGGCACGCTGAAAACAAAAAAATGTTACCCGTGCTGCATATTTGCAGTGGAGGTTCAAAATTTGATACCTGGATATTCAAGTATCAAAAAAAATTAAAAAAAACTACACAGAAAAAAAGCGTGGCAGGGCACAGTCCAGGATCGTGCCCTAAGGCAACTGGAAGCTCAGGTCCTCCAAAGAGATGCTCTGGTAGCTGGCCAGAGCATCTCTATGGCTGCCCTGTGCCCCGATGCTGAAGCATGCTGCCTCCATATGCAGGGCAGCCTGGACCTATGTAGACTGCATGGACCCTGGCTCCATTGGAGGCAAGTAAGGGACTGGAGGTGCCGGGGACTGAAGCGAGGGGGGGGGGCGTGGATCCCCTGCCTGCCCACCACACAGCCTACAGCCCCACTCAGCCACAGCAGTAGCCCATCGGGGCCCTCCTGGCAAAGACCCCCACGGCGCAGGCACCCAGCACTGCTTGTGGCAAATCATGCAGGCCCAGCTCAATGCAGTGCATCTTCAGGCAGCTCTGGGCCACTCAGGGGGACCACCTGTCACACTAGGCCAGGTCCTGCTTGCACAGGACCCAGCCCGACATGACGTGGTCCCTGTGAGTGGTGCGGGGCCCTGGGTGACAGCCCGAGCAGTCTGGAGCTGCCCAAAGGCGCACGGTAGCACGCCAAGCTGGCCTGGGCCCACACAATATGGCACAGGCAGTGCTGGGTGCCAGGAGGCCAGGGCTGAGCCATGCTGCTCCTCACTGCATAGTGGGGGCTGTACCAGGAGGCCCCAAGTGCCCCAATGGCCACAGCTGCTGTGGGTGAGCTGTGGGCCATGCAGGGGGTTCGGGCCCTGTGGGGGCTGCATAGTCCATGAACTGTGCGGGGGAGCAAGGGACCCACCCCTCCTGAGCAGCCCCCTCCCCTACATAATCCACCTACAAACCCCACACCTTCAAGCCTTCCCCACAAACCCCTCACCCACATACCTGGCCCTGCGGGTCAGGAGTGAGGGGACTGGGGCAGGCTGTGGGTTGTGAGTGAGGGGGGCAAGGGCAGGGTCAGGGCACTGGCATATTAGTGCCGCTCAGAGCTGCACATCCTGGTGAGCAAGGGGGGTTGAGGCAGCTCTGATTTTTTAATGTCAAAAACACCAAAAGTAAATGCCAAAGTGTATAGCTATTTAGAACTTATTTTATTATGATGATAGAGGCACTGGTAGGCTTCCAAACTGCTTTGAACTTTTAAATATATCAATAAAACATTGCCAAACTGATCTCTCTATATAGTGGCATTTCATTTTAATAACGAAAGAACACTATTTTGGGTATTTTAATGAGAGAATTTGGGTTTCTTATCAGAGAATTTGCAATTTTTAAACAGGGAACACCAGGATCTGCTGGTGAGGCAAGTGGCAAGACCCGGGCAGAGGAGCCTGTCCAGGGCCAGCACTGGGGACCCAGCTGGACGGCAGACAAGGTGGCTGACCTGTTGGCCATTTGGAGCCAAGAGGACACACTTGGACAGTTCAAAGTTGCCCACCGTAAGGAGCACATCTTCTGGGCGACAGCTGCCCAGATGGCAGAGCAGGGGCACCCCATCTGGGTCTGGCAGGCATGCAGCCACAGGGCTTCAGTTCCAAGGGGGCAGATGCTGTCACATGTGGCAGCAGGTCACAGCCAGGCAGCAAACCCCACTGCTAGACTGCTGCAGTGGAGTACCAGGTCAGAGCTACTTCAGTAGTCCAGCTGGCACAAGGGGTAGTGTTCCCAGATACCAAGTGGCTGGGCCTCAGAAGCTCCTGAGAGCAAGTAGCCCTGAGCTACTCATCAGGGAAGGTTTTTATACTGCTGAAGCCAGCACAGGTGCTGGCCCCAGGCTCTAGCACCCTCTGGCTGCAGATCCAGGAGGAGCTGGGCAGGGTTATTTTGTCTCAAGTGGTAAAACTTGCCCCACTCCAAAGTGCATGTCTGGGCACATGCACGGAGGCAAAAATCCCCGGCTCAAAATCTGTGCCGCTCCTATCTGAGCTGCTTCAAGTGCACGTGCCTGCATATGTGGATGCACCCATAGATTCCAAGTTAGGGTCCCATCACTAAGTCAACTAACTATTACTAATAATTTTAATGCAATAGTTTTAGTAACTCCATTAAATGGCTTGTGTGAACTGCCCACCAAGAACTTGGGTTGTCCTTTACAAGTTCACAATGAGAGGCTCACTTTTTCCTCCAACCTTGTTAAATTTGAGACTTCGCTTCTATTCAACCTCAAAATTATCTAGGCTAGCTTTATTTATTTATTTCAATGTGGCAGTTCATTTTATAACCTAAAACAAAATCTCAAATTGGACAGCAAGATTCTAGCTTCTATTTATGAAGGAAGTTAAGTAACCTTTATTCAAGCATCCCACTTACCACAAAAGTGCCCTTTTTTGAAGGCAACCAAGACATAATTGATAATGGCATTTTGTGATCTATAGATCACTAGTTTCCTGTCATCTGTTATTAAAAAAGGCAAACAAATAAAAACAAACCTTTCTTTCATTAGCTACTTCAGCCACAAGGATACTCTTCCTTATCGTGCATGTGGCACGAGGCCAGCATAAGCACTAGTACTTGGATGCCTATATTCATTGTTTAAACAATCTGATCACAGCTGGGTCAACTAACAGAGCACTTCAAGTTTCTGCCAAGGTCAGTCAATACTTCCTGTTTGTTTGCATTTCCTTTAAACTAGCTTCTAACTATACTCCAAATATATCCAATAGTATTTTTAAAAATGACTATACTGAACTGCCTTATTAGCTGCATTTCAAATTGATGTTTACTTTCAGGTTTTCCAACCCAGGTCATTTCTAGCTCAGTCAACCAACCCCCCCACACACGCACACATTTCTGAAGCTACAAGAAAACAGCTGGTTGGTTACACTGTAACATGCAATTCCACACTATTAAATCAAGCTGAATGCTAACAAAGGTAAGCCCTGCCTCTCCATTCAAATTGATTAATTCACATGTCTACACTACTGAGGTAATCGGAGAATTAAGACGCTTATCTTAGATCAGAGATTCTCAACCTAGAGTGCCATCTTTTTAAGGGTGCTGAAGAATATTAGTACTATTATAAGTGATTCACAGATAAACCCAGATATTTAGGAATCCAAAGCCCCATTCCCTTGTGGGATTGGTCCACTCCCCCTCCCTTCCACTTCTGAAGCCAAGCCAGGCCAGACTATGCTGCACCCCCTCTCCCCCAGGCCAGGCTGGGGCTGTCACAGACCCTCCACCTCACCCCATAGGACCAGGTCAAGCCCCTGCAGGGCTGCATTGAAACCAGCCTGACCCCCCTCCCCCCCACACCTGGCCAGATGGTGCCCACCCTGGTCACTGGACTGGGACCACTGACTGGATCCGACACATGGAGGGATCAGGCACTGCCCATCTGGCCCACCAGGCAAAAAGGTGGGTACCACTAGTATAGACAAGTGGTAGTATATACTTTATTCTGGCCTTCTTTCTGCATTCAGTAACATTCAACCAGCTAGTGTCCTACTGCTAATTAAGGTCTTTTACACTAGTGAGACAGGAGTCAAAGAGTTTGACAACTAGCCTATTTGGCCTAACAGCATACACATGGATCCTCAGCACTCCAAGCTACATGGGTACTTTATGTAAGACACTAGTCAGGTTATTTAATTTATTTATTCTTGTTAATGTCTCAGATCCATAACTCTAAGACTTTTTCTATACAGAAACCTTAATATCCCACTGTTCCACAAAGGCTGACCCCTGAACTTGAGACAGAGCATAAAATGTGCCTGCTCACATGGTGGCTCATGCATTACTGTTCATTTAAAAAGGCAGCCTGCCCCAAACAATCCATTTTGAGAGCTCTGGTGCAAGGGACAGTAAGTCAATAAGGGACAATAAGTAGAATTTTTTAAAAACCTAGTTTCCTTCCAGAGCCCCCTAAGTCCTTGCTGTAGATATTACTATTAGGCAGACGTTGGCAACCTATGGCCTGTGGAGTCATTTCATCCAGCCCATGGAGATGGGGGGGGGGGGGGGGGGGGGGGGGAAGGGAGGGTGCTCAGCAGCAGGGAGAAGTGGAAATTGGCCTGTGCTCAGAGCTAAGTGCCACTAAAGTGGGCCCCCACTGCTGTAACGTATTTTTCAGTACCAAATCTGTCTAGCCCACTATAGTTAAACCCATGCAAAAAAGAAACAAAAATCAACTTGCTTCACCAACCTAGTTTTCATTAGGCTAATGAGGACAAAATTAAACAAAATAAAAATAGAGGGACATAATCAGCAGGGTTCTGTGTGGCCAGCATATCTGTTAGCCTTAAGAATATAACGACCTTGCTTTTTGTCATATGTACTGTCTGTTTAAGAAGACTACCGTAAATATAATTTTTTTTCAAAGGCAAGACTAAAAGATGCCATTAAAGCTTTTAGTGGCAAATCAAGAAACTGATCTCCAACATTGGATTTAATTTACAAGAGCCAGCAACCTTCTGCAAGCCAAGGGCCAGAACAACGCACCTCCAGTCCAACACGGGCCAAGTGGTAAGGCACTTTCCCAGCACCCACGCTAGGAACAGAAAGCTGTGCTACTGTTGTTCCTCCTATCCTGATAATCAACCACATTTCTCCAGCCGATACAGCCCCCATTTTTCATTATAAACAGCTCCCATTCAACTTCAAATTTCATTAGCTATGCCAACATTTAAGTTGTTCTTTACTACAAGGGATTTATTATTACTATTACTACTACATTAGGGAGCCATAGCCCCACTCCTAGCTTCCCTGCACACCTAGGTACCCTGCCACACAGGAAGCTCCCCAGCTCCAGACTTCCCCATTGCATCATGCATCTCAGGCACCTGGGCCCCAGACTTCCCTAACTGAACTGCCCCACTGAACTGGCAGGCAGGGAAAGGAAAAGCGGAACTAGACCAAGCACAGAGACCTCAGCTGCTCTTGTAACTGAAGCAACGAGTGGGGAAGCAGCAGCACAATGGGAGCCACAATTTCACCACTGGTAGGCTGCATGCAGCACACAGGACACCAGTTGAACAGCCCTGATGTATATAAAGGAAAGTACTACTAGCCTTGCCTGCACTAGGTAATTTCACATGTTTTAACGTTATTTTCCTAGTTAAGAAAAAAATAGATACATCTCTTTCTCTCTCTCTCTCTGCACAATCATTGTGCTCGCTAGGAACAAAGAATCATTTCAGCTTTTCTTAAGAAAATTTCTAGTGAGAAAGGAGTAGGTTGTTTCTTCATGTCTAATACTAAGGTTGACCTCAGTCTGCTAACCCACAAGAAAAGCTCATATCCATACAAGCCTTTTTCATATTAAAATATCCACCATAAGTTAGCAAAAAAAAAAAAAAAAAAAAGCAACTTAAGAGTAAGGAAAAACCATTAAGACAGATCAAGAACCAAAGGAGATGAAAACGTATTTCGTGACACAACCAACAAGTTTCAGAGTTTTCTTCATACTGGTAAACATACAAATCGGACCTTAAATCACAGTTCTTTATTATTCATGGAACAGCCTACAACTTCATTAACTGAATGGAGCGTGCTTTGCAAATAATCTGCTATTTCATTACCAGTCAGCTGTGCTTCTAGCTGATTATCTTTGTTCTGGATCCTAGACCCAAAAACCTTTGAACAAGCATACAGTAAAAACAGCGATCAACAAGAAATTATTTTTTCTTAACTGGAGTACTGCACGTGGTATTGCCAATCTTATTTCCCCTCCATATGCACTATAAATGTAGGGAAGCAAGCTTCTTTCAAACTAAGTGAGCATAAAAGTACAACAGGAGAACAATAGTAATTGAGCAGTAGCCAAGACAAATTTTGCACAAAAAAACAGCTGTCACTACTTGTATGAAAACAAGGTATTGAAGGAACTGGCAACTGTGCAGCTGCAATGGAGCTATTAAACTCAAAAGTGAACTAAATTCCTGCTACTACCACTCACCAAGTCCCTTTGCCAAGGTTACCTATATAAACTATTAGATTCTAGTTTAGGAAGATTTTTCTAAAACAGTCAAGAAGTTGAAACAGGCTGTTTCAAGAAATTGAACCAGTTAAAATGGCTCCTCCAAAACTATTTTGATTGCATATCTAGAAGTTTCTGCTCGTAACCTTTTAATAGCTATTTTAAAGTGTTTTCTTTTTAGCTTATTAAAAAGAATTTGTTACTCAAAGAACCAGATACTATTCATGGATACATACGATAGATATGTTCTGAGGACTTCTTGTATCTGAGGTTTTTAAAAGGTGTAGGAGCAACAGTTTTGAATCACCATTACCTTTCTTCAAAAGTGCTGGGCATTTGGGATATACATGTTATAGCCTCCGTTCATCCTCAGGCTGGAGGTTGAGTGAGATAGTAACACTTAAAGTAAATAAAATTAAAACTTTAGAGCTGTTTAATTTCACTATTTCATCATGCAAACTACTTTTGAGTGATTTTCGCAAACAAAATCCCGCATGCTTCATATCAAAACTTAATCAAATACCTGTGATTTGCAACAGAATTCCCCCTGGAAGTGACTAATGAACTAACAGTTTGTAAAGAAACACACTGTACCAAAACAGACCACAACAAAACTTTTAAGGAACTGCTATTCAGGTTGTTAGAAGGAGTACATTTCTGTATCAACGAGTACAACTCTGCAGGGATTACAATATGATTTCTGGATGTTAAATTCCCATCCAACAGTTTTGTCATTATAGGAAAAACATGTGCGGAGATTTTGATAGTTTTACTTTATCCATTCAACACTTGCATCACACAAGAGGATGCATTCTTTGATAACCAAGCAGCTTGGAAACCTAAAGCAAAACATTCTTTAAATAATCTAAGCCAAGTAAGCGTATTTGTGCCTCTAAATGATACCACATTTAACTCTCATCTGTAAATGAAAATTTTGCTGCCTAATTAGAGATCTACTGAATTAACAAAAATCACAGTCTATATTTATAACAAGAGTACTTTATCCACAGTAATGCTATACAGTCGTACCATACCAGCGAACATCAGGCTCCTGACAGACACTACATTTAAGACATGATTAACCGCGTCTTAAATAGTGATCTGGCCACATGTTCATCTAATTAATGGTGTAATAAAACAAGGAATAAGGCACAAAGTTATTACACGAAATGGACAACTTTGTGGCTGGTTCCTATCGCACCTAACTGAACATGTGGCCAGTGCCCAATCTCTGGAGCATATGGGAGACTCAAAACTTTTGCATTGTAGCAGATCTCTTAGCAGTGACCGTTATTAGTATACGTTATGCTCACTTGCATTTTGCTCCACAACATGAATAACCAGCCAGCCTTAGGAACTTTTATGCTGGTTTAACTGCACCTACGTAACCTCATAACAGTTTACCAGTATCCATAAGTAATTGCATCTTTAAATTAAACCACTCTAATCCTTAGGATTTACAGTCTTCCGTTTCCATATGATTATTTTGGTCTAAATACTACACAGCATTTTAAGTGATCTTCATCAGTAACAAATAACTATAAGTAGTTACAACCCATATTTTCTATTACCTGTCTATTGAAAAAGACGTTTTATTTTAAAGTGATTTTGAAATGCTTGCTTGTTTTCTCTGCATACTAACAGCAGCAGCACAGAACTACATATAGCTGTGTTACCTATGGAAGCACATTGCCTCTTATAGGTTCCAGGTTATTCCTTACTAAATAAGAAGATCCCAAAAATTTAAGGAGGAATTTGTCCCATTGCAACTAGTGTTAATAAAAAAAAAAAAAATCAAAAAAAAAAAAATCACATTTCTTATCAACAGCAAGCTTACTTGAGTGCAAGGCTCTGCTGTCAGCCCTTAATAAAATGAACATCCAAGGCTATCAGAGAGTCTTGATAAAAGCCTGCAAAAAATGTACTTAGTACCTATATCCCAGTTTGCCTGCCACCAATAGGAACAAACAAAATCTTCCTCTGGGACAATTCATCCAGTAAGTGCAGCACATTAAGAAGAGTGTAGTCAGTTTAATCCCAGAGTCCTGGGAGTAAGAACAAGGCTATGCACTTATCCCAAGTATGCTGACAATATTTAGCTTTCTTTGATGTTTACAATGTTTCTTAATTATAGGAAAAACCTCTGTCAGGGTTTTCCCCATGTCATTAAACCCTGTTACTCAAAGCATGATAATACTAATAGCAGCCTTGAACTTCACAGGCGCTAGTCAGTGCAAAGCTATTAAAAGAATGTATACAGCTACACTACATTGTAGAGCAGATGGAGCTAAAGAGTTCCTAGGCATTTGTCAGTTATGCAGACGGATGTTGGCTACAACGTAAGCAATAAGCAAAAAGAGACCAAGCCATGATTGTAAAGGACTGTTCATTAAACCCATGCTCACACAGAAAGCAAACTTGGAGTCAAAAGTTCTCCTGGCAGTGATTCAACTCTACTTTATATGGAGTATTTTATTTAAAGATTTCACAATTCTCAAGACAAAACCAGACACAATGTTATCATGTCCTTTCCTAGATTAGTTAAGGTTAACATGATTGGATGATCAGTCTAAATTCATAATAGGTAACCTGACCGCAAAACAACATGCCTTTATGAACAATATGAATGTTATTCATATTGTTCATAAAGAGATAGTATGTCGTCTCTATCAAGATAATACCAGAACTGAATTAGCAAAGAGGTGGGTACTGGATTCAGCTACCAATACACTTCATAACTGATTTTTGTCTTCCCAGGTAGAATCAGAGACTGGAAAAAGACTTCTATAGGTCATCTAATCACTCTCTGCCTGAAATAGGATTATCCCTATCCAAACCATCCTATACAAAATCCTTGTCTAACCTCTCAGTAAAACTACACAGTTAACCTTGTAACACAACAAGACAACAGCCTAACCTGCCACAGGTAAAGCTAATGTCCTACTTTTGTAAAGGTCGTTAATATAAGCTCAGGAGCACCCAGGAAGAGGGCAATCCACACTACAGAGGAAGGACAAAACCCTGAAAATCCATACAAACCTGATGGAGTAAAATTCCTTCCTGAATACAAATACTGTGATCAGTCTGACCCTGAGTGAATGGGCAAGACCCTCTAGCCAGGAACCTCTAGGTTTAAGTCCCAGCAGGAGCACTAGCACACCTCAGTCGGAATCCCCAGCCTTGGCTGCAGCCAAAACACAATGCCTCCAAGGAAGGCTTTAAGAAAGCCCTAACACATAGCAGCAAGGGATGGGAGAGGAGCAGTGGGAAGTCCCTCCCAGCCCTACGCAACAATAAATGAAGTCCAGAAGCATGGGAAATACCCATAGTAGAACACAGACACAGCTACACTGAGATCATCCCTGTTCAGCGGCTGTTCAACCTTTTTGAACATCTCCACAGATGGAGAGTCCTCAACTTCCCTAGGCAGTCTAATCCACTACCCCACTGTTCTAACAGTGAAGTAGTTCTTCCTGACACAATTAAAACCTAATTTGCTGCAACTTCAAGTCATGGTCCACATCCTGCTCTCTGCAGCAAGAGAAAA